AACGTAGTCAGAAATTTGTCTGTGAGCAACAGCTTCAAGTACTTTTGATAAAAAAGGAAGAATAGAGATAGGACGGAAGTGAGAAACAGAACTAGGATTATTTATTTTTGGAAGTGGGAGAACAAAAGCATTTCGCCATAGTGAAGGAAAAACCCCAGTATTTAATGAAAAATTTACTATGTGGGTAAGTACTGGTAAGACATAATCGAGGATGAGATTGATCATGATTCTGCTCACATCATCAGAGCCTATTGCGGCGGACTTGATGGAAGAAATTGACTTTTTTATATCCTCATCAGTAACGGGAGAAAAATTTAAAGAGCTTTTGTAAAATTTTGGAAGAGAATTAACATGGGCAATAGTAGTAGATTTAATTGACGAATGCAGCTGTGGTGCAGTAGAAAAGTATGTATTAAGTTGATTAACAGAGAAGATTGAAGGATCAAAGTTAGAAGCAGGTTTACCTATCCCGATTGATTTTAAAAATTTCCACGAATCAGCCATAGAAGCGTTAAGGATATTTCGATGAATATAACGGCGTTTAGCGGCCCGCACCATCTGATTACACCGATTCCTAGCGGCTTTGAATCGAGTCCAGTTAGCAGTACACCGATTACTCTTATATTTACTAAATTCTCGATCACGCTTTGCCATAGCCCTGCGGATATCCTCAGTAATCCACGGCGCAGGAGATCGTTTCAGTCTGACTTTGTGTGGAGGAGCGTGTTTATCAAACAACTTCTGTATATTTGAATTAAAAAGAGCTACTTTTTCGTCAACACTATCCACACTGAAAGTATCACTCCAATCTATACTACAAGCACCTTGCTGAAGTTCTTCAACATTAAGTCTCGCTAGATTACGCAGATGCACCGTCATATGATTGACCTTAGGACATTTAATCCTATAAGAAATATACAGTAAATCGTGCCGCGAAAACCCAGGGGCGGAGAGTTGACCGTGGCCAACGACATGGTCTTCAGAAGCGACCACTATTAAATCTATTAAAGAATCAGCAGTATCAAGATTGTGGTGTGTGGGGTCGAGAGGAAGAAGTGACAAATTAAAGGAGTTCATAACTGTATACAATTCACGTGACCTCGCTGAGTTACAGAGAATATCGGTATTGAAGTCTCCCATTATAATAAAGTGCTGATAATCAGAGCCAATAGAAAAAAGAGCCGATTCAAGGTCACAAAAATAATTAACTCCTGGTGGACAGTAAATTGCACCGAGAACAGTCTTAGTCCCACTGATGGTAATCTCCAAGAACATGTATTCTATTGTATCAGAATAAACAGATGAAGAAGCACATAATTTTTTATAGGGTATACCATTACGTAAGTATACCGCTACACCACCACCTCTTTTGCCCGTACGGTCATTTCTTAAGAGGACAAAACCAGGTATTCCAAAGGAGGTGGACGGTAAGGTAGGTTTTAACCAGCTTTCCGAAACTAGTATCGCAGAAATAGACTGATTATGAAAAGTATCAACAAGTTCATTATAATGTTGCGGAATGCTCTGAGCGTTAATGTAACAAACGTTAAAGTTATTAGTCAAACCATGAAACTTTTGAGTAAGCAGATAACGAAGAGTAGTAGGTTCCGAAAAAGAGTCATTTAGTGAAAAGAAAGAAGAATCTGAATCAGCAGAGAGAAATAGTTCATTGGTATCAGAATCTGTCATAATATATGATTATACTTATGATATATGTCTAAAAAAATAGAAAAAAAAAAGAAAAAACCCTATTAACTGATAATTGCACTGCAAACAAACGCGCCGGTAAACTGTTTACAAAAAGAAAAATTAAAATATTACACGAAAACAACAAGTAATACTTACTACAAGAAAGTATCTAATTTTAATTATTTACAATTGCATAGACAACAAAACTCGTACGTATTGAAAAAGAAGGAAAAAAAAACATATGTTAATCACTACGAGAAGTGGTAATTTAAACGAGAAAAAAAAATACTCTAATGCGTAATTTCACGAAATTTAAGGTTCAGATTAGTCTGTACTATTACTTGTGTCGCAAATCAGCCTAATAACCGGTTGCGGAGAACAAAAGGATCGAATACAAAAGCGCTCAGTGACGTACACAGTACACACAGCAGTAGTAGTAATTAATAAGCCGTCGAAGTGTAAACAAAGTATTACCACTATCCCGAGAATGTTTACTTATTTTTGAATGCTCGTCGGGTCCTTGGCTGCTCGCTACGGGAAACTACACTACTAGTTCCTGCCTTCACTTGTTCCGGCTCCTCGTTGCACCCAGCTTTATGAAGATCGCGCAGTAGTGCATCCAGATCATTAGCGCTAAAGATGTGACGTCGAGACCCATCAGGCAGTCTAACGCGTATGTTGCCCTCAAATGACCAGACTTTTTTAATTGCAAAATGCTTACGGGCTTGAAGAAATAAGTCTTGCCTGTATTTTGTAAGGAATTCCGATAATTTAAACGAGGTGCCTTTTAACATTGTTTTTTTAAACCAAACAGTTGAGCGCAGTGACATATCTGTGAAGCGCATTAATATAGGACGAGTATGGTGTAATTTGACCGGGCCAAGTCTGTATGCTGCTCGAAGACAAGATGGTGCTATATCTTTAAGACCTAGATTTTCGTGAAAAATTTTGATCACGACTTCAGATAAATCTTCGCCTGGTTTTTCAGGGACACCGCCCATTAAAAGGAATTTCCTGCGATGCCTTGTTTCTATAATGTCAAGCGAGCGACTGACTTCTGCAATTTGCTGGCGAAGAAGGTTAAACATATCCTTGACGTAACTCTGAAAAGCGGTATAGTCCTCGCTGATCCTGTCTACATTGCTACTCTTGGAAGCGCTGGAGTTAAGTTTTGATTCAAAATCTGCCATTTTACGGGTGATGAGCGCTTCCAAAGACTCCTGACTTCTGGAAATATCGGCAATTGTGGACATAGTGACGTATGTAGTAACAACTGTTCGTGTGTAAAAAAAAATCTTGGTTCCAGCAGTTTGTGCAGTGCTAAAAAAACTAGTGCATAAGAAGGTAAACCTTTACACGTTGATGCTTAATACTGTATTATATAGAAAAATAATAAAAGTATGGTAAATTACTTCTTTTTTAAAATAAATACGTTTTACGAAACGAAACACGTCTGCACTTATTTACACCCACCCGCAATTTTTTTGCGGGTGGGTGTAAATAAGTGCAGACGTAAAATAATGTTCTTTTCTTATGTGCATGGAAAGAAAATCACTTAATACTAATATACTCTGAAGTGGCAGAGAATTTGTAGTATATAAATATATTATATATGATGAATTCCTTTAGATCTATCCTATACTTTCTGTTGAGCATGTCCATTTTTAACTCTATTCTTTGTCTATTATTCTTCTCTTTAATTTAGATATTTTTTAACATTATCGTCTTTCTTGGTGTCATTTCAATACTACTGATTGATGTAGTATAAGCAGATAAGCTAAGTAGAGGTTCAACTCTGTGTTGATATGTGGATGATCTATGTGGAAGATCAACCTAGAATTCAAACAAATTAAATAGACAAGGCAGACTTATTGGAACGAAGTTCCTTATCGGACGGTACGAATTTGGCGGATAGGGGCTAGGCGAGAAAAAAGTGTAAGATATTTCCGCCACGACCCCTTCTGACGTATAAAAAAAGCGAGATGGAATAATATCCATCCTCCTCGCACTTTTTCTTATCTTGCCATGAAAGAAATATTATGTTCTTTTAAATGACGCTTAATTTTAATAGACGCTAGTAATTCACTGTATTTGTTAATCAATAATATAATACGTTTATCAATAATAATAATATAATATACTACGAAATGTACTTCGTTCCAACCGAGTGTTCCACAACACTCACGCATGTTTTTTTTCCACATTACTTATGAAATTCAAGGGCAATCTAACATATAATCTAGTTTAACAATAATACATAGAAGAATATTTCAACTTCTATACAATTATTTTGTCTACACAATCCTTACATGTATGCAGTAAGATAGTAAGAACATCATTTTATTATTATGAATGTAATACAAAGTTAATGAACTATTTATTTTGAAACACCCATATTCCGAGTTGTATGTACTACTACAGTTGATAATTCAATTGCTGCGCTGACGACCACAAAACGTATTTTTAGCCTATAACTTTAGAGCACTGCGTTCGATAGAGAAGAAAAGAGATGGCATAGAACAATAAATAATAACATTATGATTTTGTGATAACAATATTTTAGAAACGTTTATTTGGCAAATTTATTGTAACGTAATTATAACGTTATATACATGCAAAGCTTTGCATAATATCGTTTTGACATATCGTTTCTCTTAAACATAACGTTATCTGCGCAAGTGCGAGATAACGTTACTGTATTTTAACGGTATTTAAGTCCCTGGTTAAATGTGAACCGAGCCATTCGGTATGGTGGGCGTTAAAATCACCAAGGATCACGATCTCTGCGGATGGGACCTGTTGTAGCAAAGAATCTGTAGCCATTTGGACGTGGTCAATGAGGCGGTCTGTTTCGGCATTACCGCTATGGGACCTATAGAGGCACCCGTAGACGCGCGCATGGTCGTCGCTGTCTACGCATAGCCAAAGGATGGACAGGTCCGAACCTTCAAGACTGCCGAGGCGTCGAGAACAGATGTCCTCTCTGACATACACGCAAACTCCAGCCCGAGGCACAAAGGAGTGCTCCAATTTGTACCCTGGGTAGGAGAGATACGAAATATCAGCCGGAGAGGAAACCTGCGTCTCGGTCAGAAAGAGCAAGGCCGGCTTCGCCGTCTCGAGATGGTAGTTGACGGTGTTTAGGTTAGAGTGAAGTCCCCTGATGTTGCAGAAATTCACGGATAGCGTGGCAGGGGTCGCTGGTGTTCTTGCTCAGTTTGCCCCGAGCAGTTATGTTTTTGAGCGGAATTTTGTTATAATAATGTTAAATATAAAAGCGTAGCGGAGTTTGTATGTTTGTTTGTTTGCAGGGCGAGCTGTGCGGGCGGGGCGGCGCTGCACGAGCAGCTGCTGGCGCTGGCGGCGCGGCCGTACGGCGACTCGCCGCTCTTCAAGGACCTGCTGCCCGACACCGGTCAGTTTGTTTGTGTGTGCGTAGGGCGGGCGGCGGGGCGGCGCTGCACGAGCAGCTGCTGGCGCTGGCGGCGCGGCCGTACGGCGACTCGCCGCTCTTCAAGGACCTGCTGCCCGACACCTGTCAGTCCACTCTACTCTGCACCCTCCTACATTAAGCCTACACATATATTTTTTACCTGGTACAGCCACGCTGCAGCTACGCTAAAGCCTGCACAGACTAGCGAACGAGACCGCGCGGAGGATTTAAAATTTATTAATTGTATTTAATAATTTTGAAATGGAAATAAGGTATGTATGTCAACGCTCGGTGATCGACTTAGGAACATCGCAGCGCAGTTTTGTCTGGAGCATTGAAAAGCACACTGGAGGATACCGCAACGGAAAGATGCGATACGCGCCGGTCTGCTTAGTAATATCTCAATTATTATTATGTTATTCTTCATCCGCGAAAATTGATATTAAATAATATCAATTTTCGCGATTAACTCGCGATTCACCATTATGAAATAAAACCCACATCACACTATTTTAAAAGCAACTTTTTTTACAGAATAAAAGTGAACACACAGTCCACCTGATGATAAGTGAATGCTATGGCCCATAGACATCTACATTTATCCTTGATTAGGAATCAAAATGCAGATGCTTCGTCACCCGTAAAGACTGAAATGGAATGCCTCGTTTCCATTAAAAAGCGTCTCCGGTTCTCTACACTCACCATACGAAACACAGCAGCACTAAGCTGCTATTTTACGCTGGTATTCCGTGACAACGTGGATCCTTCCCCGGTTCCGGTATAACATAGCTGCAGCGTGGCTCTACCACGTAAAAAGATTAGAAGACTCTTTTTACATTTGAAGACTAGTGCTTCTTACGTGATCCCATATAAATTTGATCAAGATCTCACCAATAATATTTGAGTTATTTTTAATAATCTATATTTAAATCGGTTGTACAAAATTTTAAATTAAATTTATTTCATTTCTATTTCTCACTTCAATCTCGTCGATTGTGCATAGTAGAAAATAAATTCTCTAACGATGATTTCAAAAACTTTTAAAGTTGATATTAACGTGCAAACTCGAATAGTTATTCACAATATATTTTTTCTTTTAAATGATTCGAAAAGTGATCGCGAAAAATATCTCAACTTAATTTTAATAAAACGCTGGAAAATGTTACTTTATTATGTATAAAAAAATATCGATATCGACTACCTGTTGTAATTGTAATGTACATCATTATGACGCTTCATAAGCCCAATGAGTGCGAGCGAGATAGACTGATTAAAATGATTTATTGCCCAACAACTCTGTTGATAACGCGGGCACTATAGGCATAGATAGAAGAAGTACCATCACCTAACCTGTCTCCAATAAAGAAGATAAATTCTTGACTTTTTCAAATAATATTTCTTTTTAATATTGCAGCCACTCCAGCAGAGGAAGCCCTGAAGCCAACAAACCCAGCCGCTCTGAAAGCTGCCTTGGACAGCGCGTATAAAGTGGCCTCACCATCGTCCGGCAGACTGCGTGTCATACCTAAGCCTTCCGTACCTCATGACAAGGTGTGTATGTCATGTTATGTTCTTCTTTCTTTACTAATCGGCCTGTTGGAGCCCAATGCCGGGAATCAGTCTCTCGGTTGCAGGGCAACTTCAAATAGCCAGCCAGGCTCGAACACAGACGCAAAGTAGTCGGTTGTTTACGTGGTAGAGCCATGCTGCAGCTATATTAATAGTATAGTTGTAGTGCGAATGGGTCGGCTCGACCGGGGAAGCACCACGCTCTCACAGAATACCAGCGTAAAATAGCAGCTTAATGCTGCTGTGTTTCGTATGGTGAGTGTAAAGAACTAGAGACCCTTTTTATTGGAAACAAGGCATTCCATCATAGTCCTCACGGCTGACAACGCATCTGCATTTTAATTCGCAAACGAAGATAGATGTAGATGTCTATGGACCACAGCAACCACTTACCATCAGGTGGACTGTGTGCTCGTTTGTCACCCTTATTCTATAAAACAAAAATAGCCAGCCTTTCGGTTTTTTATAGGATGCATTTCGGAGAGTGTGCGCAGGAACTGCATAATTTAATTCCTCCCTCTTCCCTCCACCATTGGACAACCAGACGTTCGGCCAGTCTCCACCCTTTCGTCGTTGACTTACCACGCATTCGAACTAAACGGTTCGCCACGTCGTTCATCATGCGTACAGCAAAGGAGTGGAATAAGTTGCCAGCATCTGTCTTTCCATCCGATTACAGTGTGTGTGTCTTCAAGGCAAGAGTGAATAGGCTTTTGTTAAGTCAGTGCCCTTCACCATCTCAGGCTACATCACCACTTACCATCAGGTGGGATCGTAGTTAAGCGCTGGCTTAGTAGAATATAAAAAATAATAGACGGCCACAGATGCTATATCACCTAAGGGGACTAAGATATAAAAGCTCTCAGTTTGTAATCAGCGTTGCCAACTCTGCGAATTATTCCGTAGATCTACGGAAATTTTTCATCGTTTACAGAACTACGGAATTTGATTTCCATGTTAATTTCTTTTTGTGCTTCAGTCCTTTAGAATAATTACATTTTTAGAAAACTTAACAAAAAAAAAACTATTTGTTATCATGTGTGTGAACTTAGCTGACAACCGACAATCGAAAATTTTAACAATCGAAGTAATTAATAGAATCAGGCGTTATTTTGCGGAAGGCCATTATATTAAAGTTGGCAAAAGATTACTTCGCGTACATCAGCTCGATAAAAGAAAATAGTGTGTTACCTCAATTATGAGGTAATTGAGATCCGTGCGGGATTCGAACCCGCGGCCAGCGCAACAACTCATTGCTAAGCCACTGCGCCACGGAGCCGTCAATTGTTTGGATACATTTCAACCGCCAAATTCCATCATTGCACATTGCGACAGATTTCGCGGTACCATCCACAACATCTGGGTGATTGGTGACCCACCACTGTGCGATTTGCAAGAAGTTTTTCTCCTAGCACAAATTCTTTGTGAAATCGATATGCAAGAAATTTTTTTTTGACAAAAAGTCACTATTCATAACGGATTACACAAAACGATCTTAAGAGGCTGATAACTTCTGGATAAAATGACGGTGGATCGCCAAACATCCAGGTGAAGTGGATAGTATCGAAAATTATGTCGCAAAATATGATGGTCAAACTTGGTGGTACAAGTACGATATACGAAGAAATCCTTAACGTTATTTATATTCTTTACAGAAGTCCCTATTCGACGGTCTGGAAGAATCTGACGCGAGTCTAGAAGACAAGCTGTCCCTGAAACCCAGCCGGAAGCGGCTGGTGCTTCGTCCCAACTCAAAGCCGAATGACACACAGGACTCCATGGAACACAACTCTAATGTCAACAGGTAGGCGGGAGTGGTTTGTGTTGCACAATGCTTTGTGTTGGGATATTACCAAAATAATACGAAATCTTGTAAAATGAAAGTAACAATTATATTTAATTATACTAAAGGAAACACACACGGTGGTACACTCAAAAGGGCAGAGACAAAAACTGAACGTTTTTTTGTTAGTTCCATTGACAGTCACATTCTGGTGCTCAGTTCACAAAATATAGAATACTTTGTGTTTACAAAATCGTATGTTATAACACTTTGCTAGATTTTCTCTCTGGTTTTGTGTCAATCTTCAATATATACTTAATTAATATTTACTTTGCCACTTTTTTTTTAAAGTAAATTTTACATTAATGGTTTTACAAACTATTCACAAAATGTAATTTAGAAACTGCTTGGAAGCGCCCACCTCATTCCCAGGGGTTATTATCAACCATGTACATTTATATTATAGTAAACCTTTAAATTTAATTAAACATTTAAACTTGGTAATAGAGAGAACCTGTACACTTTCCGGTACCTTGTTGTAATAACGTATACATTTGTCTCAAGTATGAATTACTGATTCTGTGGAGTCGAGAAACAGGTATCACGCCCATTTATTATGTACCGCAAAGGCGAAGTCGCTCGATAAAGATGAGTAGCATTTTTGGTAAAGCTAAGCCTTAAAAGCCAAATCATTGGTTTCGAAGGGGTCTCAGATAGAATAGCAGCAATCCATATAAATTTGCCAAAACACCCGAAAAAATGGACAATCATCACGACAGAACAAGCAACAAAAACAGACATAGATAATTTTTACGATAAACTTAGCGAAATTACTGAAAAATATACGGAAAACAATATTGTACTCATGGCTGACTATAATGCTCAAGTCAGCGCCCGATCAGGTGGGGAACAACAATAAGGAAATACGGAAGTGGCAAAAGAAGCAATAACGGAGAAAAATTGGTAGAATTCCTGCTTGAGAAAAACTTAACACTTCTAAATTCTATGTTCCGCAAAAAACCTAAAAGCAAATGAACTTGGATGTCTCCAGATGGAAAAACTAGAAACGAAATCGACTACATAATAACCAACAGAGTTAGGTCATTTAGTGGTACGGGAATAATACAATATCTAAACTTCAATACTAACCACCGTATGGTACGCAGCTGTCTCAATGAAAGTGGTACAAAAAAAACCTAGAGCAATCGTAACTCAAATGAACTACTTACAAACAATAAGTAGGAAGAGGAACCCAAACAACACCACAGAAGATCTAATGGAAGTAGTAGCCTCAGATATAGATCTTAACGAAAAATATTAAAAAATGGAAAACAAACTGAAAGAACAGACAAAAATACAAATAAACAAGAGTCAAAAAACTAATTGAAGACAGAAGAAATTTAATAAAGAAAAAAAGATAAGAAAAATAATCAAAAAGAAATTTCTAACGTTAGCAAACAGATTCGCGAAAATATGAAGATTGACAGGAAAAATAGAAGAATCGAAACTCTAGAGAATGACATTAGCAAAACGGGTCGCACGAAGAAAACGCTCAAGGAATTTCGAGAACAGGGAAAAGAATGGATACCAAAGTTAAGGGACAAAACAGTACCAACTACCTCTTGCAGCAAAATCCAAAATATAGCAACAAACTATTATCGATTATTATACAAAGAACACAGTTCAAATCAGACAAAAATACAATGAAAAATATAACGAATATAAATATATAAAAAACCATAGGATCGACGACGTAGAAGTTATATCAGAAATATTAGTAAAGGAAGTAGCAAAATCTATAAAAAGTCAAAAGATGGAAAAAGCCCCTGGTCCAGACAGAATCACAAACGAACTTATGATAGGGACAATTAAGGAACTAAACCCAATACTAACAAAGGTTTTCAATGAGACTAAATACCGGCAGCATTCCCAGCCAATTGGCAGAATCACATATAATACTCCTACACAAAAAGGGTCCAAAAGATGATATAGGAATTTATAGATCCATTTTGTCTCATCACAAATGTATATAAAGTTTTCACTAAAGTGATTCTAGACTGCATATCTCTCACACACGACGAAAATCAACCTGTGGAATAGGCAGGGTTCAGGAAAGACTTTAGTACAATTGATCATATACATACAGTCAAACAGCTCGTACAGAAATACAATGAATATAACAAAACCGGTTACCTGGCGTTTATAGATTATGCCAAAGCTTTCGATAGCCTTAAACACGAATCGGTATGGCAGTCTAAATGAGCAGGTGATCTAAAATGCCTACGTTAATATTAACAAAAATATTTATTGTTCGCGCCAAACGCTAATTTCAAGAATCGACGCCAGGGGGCGCGCATCGCGGTGATTTCCTATCGGTAGACGTTCGCGCGAGACCGGATTGGTTGCTTGAGCGACGGGTCGGAAGTGATTGAATGCAGTGCGTTACAGTAGCTTGAGAGCAGCGGTGCGGTCGATTAGCGTATTTTGGTGACCGCTGCATATATTTCGCGCGACCAGTATTTTTTTTTATTTTATGGTCTAGATTTTTAGTATTTGTGCGCGTTGAATTCGCTATTGAATTTGTGGTTTCGTGAAGACCGCCTCGGATTAGTTTGTCTAAGTTGTAGCTTGTCACTAGCACGGCGTAAGGTTGTCCGGTATAACCTCCAATTAGTCTAGGCTGACTTTGAATCTTAATGCGGGCGTAGTATTTAATATCGTACGAAGGAATTTAGTTTGTCGGTTGTAATACTGAACTTTGTGACTCGAGAAGAGACCGCGTTCTTGTTCGTGGTTATAATCTTGTTGCTACGTGAAACGGAAGTGGCCTTTGATCCACCGTTCATTAGCTGTGCCGTGTGTTACGTTTTTGATTACGATTAACGGGGATTCAGTTGAGTTTGAAGTTAATTAAATGTACAATAAAGTTGATAAACTGAAATAGTGAAGTGACGTCAGACTTGAGGTCTGATAAAGTGAACTACCACCTTTGGAGAGAAGCAACGCTGGATCTAACGATTGGGTCAGGTCAAACAGTATACACACCTATACACCACTTACACGCACCTACACCTACCTACGGCCTGACCGAGCCTTGGGGCAGTCTTAGCTTCAGAACCAGGTACGTACTATTTATTTACCTAGCCTTATCTCTATTGTGTAGGTCAATAGTCCATAGGCTGTTGGGCCCCGTCCTCTGCTGCCCGTCGATAGGACTACTGATGGGCCCTAGTCCAGTCTACCTTTGTTGGGGCAGCTAAGGGCGTGTACATTTATAGTGAAAGTAAAACCAGGATCAGGCTAGAATCTACAGGAGATGTTTTTAAATAGTTTCTATGTAGTGTACACTACACTACGTCAGAAGGGGTCGTGACTGAAAAATATTACACTTTTTCTCGCCTAGTCCCCATTTGTCAAATTCTTACCGTCCGATAAGGAAATTCGTTACAAAAAAAAAAATAGCAGCATTCAATATTGTTGCGGCTTACCTTACTATTTAACTATTTACTCCACACTAGGCCAGGCCTGTCTTGTGGCAATCTAATTTAGTAGTCTAAAACAGTATATATAAAAAAAGGGTGATAATCTTTCATAGATGCGGCAATTGATTTTTATTTATATAGAAATGTGTTCTTTTCTCTTAATTTTCTGCGGCCAAATAAAACGGCTCGTAAAGTATTGAAGCCACAGTAACCTAACGCCAGGGTGGGGACCGCGAACTTGAAGGGAAAGGTTGGGGGTGCGAATCTACCATCCGACTACTTTTTTTTTATTGGATATGGGTGACAAACAATCACACAGTCCACCCGATGGAAAGAGTTGCTGTGACCCATAGACATCTACATCTATTATCGTTTGCGAATCAAAATGCAGATGCGTTGTCAGCCGTGAGGACTAAGATGGAATGCCTTGTTTCCAGTAAAAAGGGTATCCGGTACTCTACACTCACCATACGAAACACAGGAGCATTGAACTGTTGTTTCACGCTGATATTCTGTGAGAGCGTGGTCCTTCCTCGATCGAGCCGACCCATTCGTGCTGCAACTATACCAGTACTATAGCTGCAGCTTGGCTCTACCATGGTTAATACTGTCGTGAACCACTCCCAACACCAGCATTTTAAGCTTACCAAAAGTGGTTACAAGGTATATTAGTAATGTTTAGTATTACTAATATTTATACCAAAAAAAAAAGAGAAAAAAAAAACAAAGCATTTTGGAACATAGGAACTGGGTAATAGTCGCCTCTTAAGCAACCCATGGGATGAAATCGGGTGATAGATTCGTATACGTCACCACCACACGGCAAGACATGTGATTAATGAATGATTATGGTGATGATTGAAATGATGAGGGATATATAAACTTTTCTTTCACAGGTCGTTGGAAGAGCAGACGTCACAAAGCGAAGCAAAGAGCGAGCGCCCTGATGCAGGTCCGCCGGAACCGAACGCTGTACTCTCCACACACACCACAAAGTCCGCACACGACGTACACGACGGACCGCATACGAATCCCGAGCAAAGGAATGGCGACAATAATAGTGCGTTAATTTATTATATATAAGCGAAACACCACTGACTTACTCACTCATCACATCTATGACTATATGCTGGCAAACTCTCCCAAAAACTTCAGTGTGGTGCATCGACATATTGTGAAAAGGTTTATGAACAAATTATTGTGAAGAATAATTGAAGCATTGGGTGCAACAAGGGCGTATCTCGGAAAAATAAATTTAGAGAAAATTGCAAATAAAGCTTATAATGTCTTTAAACTTTTTAAATGTTTATAGTATGACTCTTATATACTTGGTTATTCATTTGTGTTGTGATTTCATTTAATGATTCACATATTATTATCATTTCAAAATACTTAGAAGCTAATGAAAAAAAAAATTTTTTTTTTACATGTGTTATCCGCCCTTGTTGCACCCAACCCGTAAATAAATGGGGCATTTACTTTATTACTGGTTTTTAAGACTATAAATAACAACTATTTTAGATTCTTATATGAATTAATTTTATTTGAAAGTAAATAACAATAATATAGTTAATAGAATCAGGTGTTACTTTGCGGAAATCCATTATATTAAAGTTGGTAAAAATTACCTTGCCTACATCCGCTCGATAAAATAAAATGATGTGTCTTACCTAGTTTGAAGAGCACCTCCCGCCCTCCCTCAATTGCGTGCACTATCCCCGTCACCACTAATCCCAGCACCCCTACTCCCAATACCACTACACTACCACCACATACTTTATAACGCGGTAGAGCCATGCTGCAGCTATATTAGTAGTATAGTTGTAGCACGAATGGGTCGACTCGACCGGGGAAGGACCACGCTCTCCCAGAATACCAGCGTAAAATAGCAGCTTAATGCTGCTGTGTTTCGTATGTTGAGTGTAGAGAACCGGATATCCTTTTTACTGGAAAAGAGGCATTCCATCTTAGTCCTCATGGGTGGCAACGCATCTGCATTTTGATTCGCAAACAAGGATACATATAGATGTCTATGGGCCACAGCAACCACTTACCATCGGGTGGACTGTGTGCTCGTTTGTCACCCTATCCTATAAAAAAAACTAGGAAAGACACACCACTTACGACAAAACGACAAGTGTTTCGCCTCTACACGAGGCATCTTCAGGTGACATAGACTCTGTGACGGCTGACCAATAAGCTTATCTTACTATCGATAATCGAGGATACCATAACGCTTTTTGAAACAACACTTGGTGATATATTTAAAAACCTTTTTAGGTATCTTTTTACCCCAAGCCGATGTGTACTCTTTACCCAAATTTCTCTTCACCTTTCGCACATTTTTTTCTTTTTTCCTTTCTTTTTCGGGGGAACATATTCACTTTGGTCTTAATTTGCATTGTACTCACTAAAATCACTAATTTCAGACATTTTTTTCAACTTTAAATAAAGTTTTTAAAAACTGCAGGTCGTAAAGTGATTTGAAATTTAAACACACATTTGTAATCTATGCAACAAAGGCGGAGCGCCTCCTTCAAAATAAATGATTCCCACGCCGCCTAGAAGCGATAGATCGAAATGTGTTTTTGTCACCAAATACTAGATGACGCATTACATATTTTAATGCAATAACATCAAAACGGGCTTTGGGTACCGAACGCCCTTGTTGCACCCAAAGCTTCAATTTCATATTACTTGACACTGGCAAAAGGACAACCGTACGAGTCCGTTACTAAAGGAAGACAACCTTTGAAATATTCTATAAAGCGTCCACTCCTCAATCTTGTGTATAGTGAGTACGGGTTCTTTCGACCCTCGTGCGACTGCGTGCGTGTGTAAAGTTTCTATGCTAATTTAAGAAAACCGTAACTAATCTTGAAGGTCATTGTAGATATGAAAAGCACGACGAGGTTTTTTAGACCCTAGTGCGTATAACAGTGCTGATTTCTTATATTTTTAAGTGGTTGCTGTGACTCATAGACATCTACATTTATCATCGATTAAGAATCAAAATGCAGATGCGTCGTTACACTAAGATGGAATGCCTCGTTTCCAGTAAAAAGGGTCTCCGGTTCTCTACACTGACCATTCGAAACACAGCAGCATTAAGCTGCTATTTGACGCTGGTATTCTGTGAGAGCGTGGCTCTACCCTGGTCGAGCCGACCCATTTGTGCTACAACTATACTGCTAATATAGCTGCAGCATGGCTCTACCATGTAAAAAAATAACGCAACAAATATTTACGCGAATACTACTTACTTTCTGTTTTCTTTTTGGTTTTTGAATATTCATAAAAAAATAATGTTAAAAAACTGAAGGCGGGCTAACTATGACGTCAAACACCTTAGCCCCTTCCAGACAGTGATAATGGGTGCTGTAAAGCACCCGAAATATCGGCAATTAAAAAGTTAAAATTAAACGCGATAAAATCCGTAAAATGTGGGCTAATAATTTTCTGCTCACCAGATGTCGCTAGTTGACACTGAGGTAAAGTTTTTTGTTATACAATGTCATTTAATTGAGAAGTTGTTTTTTTATTAGTTAAGTTTATTAGTTTCTAGAGTATTATATTAATACACAAAACAATGCCTCAGTGGTTTCCTCTTTAATTTTTTTTCACATTTTTACTTTTCTTAATTTTTCTACTTTTATGAATAATTGTAGTTTAGTTTGATTATTTTTAATCTTATAAATATGAAATATAGCTAATAGTACAGAAAGTAACAATAATCTTGACATTTCCGAACAAATTAACTACCCCGCTATGAAAGCTGTCAAACATTATACCTCACTTTCTAGTGGCGCCGCCCTGGTGGCAGAAAAGTCGTGGATGCCCTCATTGGTTTCATTTGATAAGCAGTGCAGGGTTAAATGTGGCGATTGAGTTAAATTCTCCAGACTATAGGCTCATGTACAGCTTGTGGTATTCAGGGTTGATGAATACGTCGACTCTTAGACGCCCACGACTCCCATAAGAGATGATATAACTCGTGTGACATTGTAATCGAGGATACCATTAACATTCGTTTTGTTACAGGCTCCGATGTGAACTCCGACAAACACAACTGGTGAGTTTATTTATTTATTTTTATTTATTTATTTATTTATTTATAAGGGTCACCGACAGATGATACACAGATACTAAAAACAAGATCCAAGCATTGAGAGAAACATGAAATGTGCTCACCCAGTTATAGGCAACCACAGCTTACACAGAGTAATGTTGCGAAAAGTTAATTATCATAAAATTGATTAACTTATATTAAAGTGTGATTTTTACATTCTTTTATATTTATTTTTTATACAATAAGTGTGACAAACGAGCACACAGTCCACGTGATGGACACTGAATGCTGTGGCCCATATACATCTACATTTATCTTCGACTAAGAATCAAAATGCAGATGCGTCGTTACACTAAGATGGAATCCCTCGTTTCCAGTAAAAAGGGTCTCCGGTTAAGCGTTAACTTATTTCGATATTACTAACAGACTGACACTTCAATATATATGTATATTTCGGCTTTACATGCACATCAAGTACAAAAAGACGGACTTAATGCAACAGGGCATTCTCTACAAGTCAATCTCCAGGCTAAGAGAAGATACTGTAAGTTCAAAGTGGAAACAACTATGTTGTGATATCTGTGTTGAAATAATATGAGCATATTAACTGTAACTACACACTAAGATACATATTACAAACATCACACAAAAATGATCATGTTAACCAAATATTTGTATGCCTTCTAAGGCGAAAAATAGTGATACTTATCAAAATATTTTCCACCAATTTTGTAACTTTCTTACCTATGTTTTACAAATAAATTATTTTGAATTTGAATTTGAAAAAAAAAATAGTAGTTAGTCCGTTATTATCCTATCCGTTAGTCTCGCAAATTTTCGAAAATGACTTTACCGATTTTGTGTTTAGTGTGTGTTTGTGTAGGTTTTAGATCCAATTAGACTCGGTAGGGGGCGCTGTTGTTGATATCCAGAAATCACCCGTGCGAAGCCGTCGCCGTATACAATAAACGTCATATACATATATGTACATACATAAGTAAATATAAAATTATAAATAATGTTGCATTTATTGCAGGTTAAGCGGCAGCAAAGTGTCGTGGGCCGACAAGGACAAGCCGGTGGACGGGGAATCCACACCCCGACTGTATCCTAATTTGGGTGAGCTATTTCCGTAAATCTAAAAGAAGTAACAACTATACTTACTGTCCACCTGGCGGTAAGTGGCTTCTGCAACCAATGGACAACTGTGGACAACTCCAAACAAAAAGTCTACAGATGCGTTGTCATCTCTCCGGATTAAGATGGAATGCCTCACAGTCTGCAACTATGCTGACTTTTTGTACCCTCCAGAATGGAACAGCAATCCGTATTTTCTTTTAGTTTTACCTTTATTCCCAGCAATATATTGGAACGAAGTTCCTTATCGGCGGACGGTACGGTTTTGACGGATGGGAGCTAGGCGACAAAAAGTGTAAGATTTTTTCGTCACTACCCTTTGTGTCATAGTGTAGACGGCCTTGGCGGCGAAATAAGGAACCGAGATGGAATAATATCCATCTCCCTCGCACTTTTTCTTATCTTGTCATGAAAGAAAGAAAGAAATATTATTTTATTTCAAATGAAGTTTCATTTTAATAGACGCTAGTAATGCATTTATTTGTATTTGTTAATCAATAATATAATAGCTACTTTTACCAATAATAATATACTACGCAAGGAACTTCGTTCCAACTGAGTGTTCCACGACACTCACGCCTTTTTTATTATATATCATTTAAAATTAAAACTCTTTAGAAAGGTTTCGTCATCATAGCTGGTCGCAAGCTTTCTCTAATTTATGAGAAGTGTCTTAAATCAGGAAAAAATCTGCCGCTTACAGCCCCTTCGTCGCTATCCCTCTATTCTCTTTCTTTTTTCTATCACTTTCTTCTCCCCCTCTCTCCCTCTCTTTCTTGTTTCTTTATCTTTCTTTCTCTCTTTTTTCTTTATCTTTTTCGTTTTCTGTCTGTTCATATATATTTTTTTTAATTTTTGTTTCTTACAACGTGTTAATTTGGGAGCTAGTTGTAAGCCTTAATTGACAAACCCGTGCTGTAGAAAATTAAAGACATAACCGGCCAAGTGCGAGGCGGACTCGTGCATGAAGGGTTCCGTACCATCGTAATACGCGTTTGTAATAAGCGTACTCCTTTTAATTTTTAATTTATTTCTATTGTTTGTTGTTATAGCCGCAACAGAAATAAACATTTTTTGAAAATTTCTACTGTCTACCTATTACGAATTATAAGATACGGCCCGCTGACAGACAAGACGTACGGACGGACAGCGGAGGCTTAGTAATAGGGTACCGTTGGTTACCCTTCGGGTACGGAACCCTAGAAATTAGGTGTAGAAAGAAATCTCTATCCATATTCCATAGCATAATGTCTTATGGGATTTTGCTATGTGGAAATGCGGCTGATTCAGAAACTATTTTTGTTTTACAAAAGAGGGCCATTAGAGCTATTTACAATCTAAAACCGAGAGAGTCTCTTAGAGATAAATTTAAAGAAATTAATATATTAACTTTGGCCTCTCAGTATATTTACGAAAATTTAATGTATGTTCACAAAAACAAAGATAGTTTTAGTAAAAAAAGTGATATACATTCGGTAAACACTAGGAACAAACACAAGCTAGTGATGCCAGTTTCTCGACTCCACAGAGTCAGTAATTCATTCTTGGGGCAATGTATACGCTATTACAACAAGGTCCCGGAAAGTGTACAGGTTCTCTCTATTACCAAGTTTAAATGTTTTATTAAGCTGAAACTGTATAAAAAGGGTTATTATAGTATAAATGAATACATGGTTGATAATAACCCCTGGGAATGAGGTGGTCGCTTCCAAGCAGTTTCTAAAATAAAATTTGTAAATAGTTCGTAATCATTTATATTGTAAAATTTATTTTAAAAAAAAGTCCCGCTGGGTTTCTTGCTGGTTCTTCCCAGGACAGAGGGTTTTTTCGAACCAGTGGTAAAGTAAAAAAATGACTTTCAATAAGAATTACACATGTAATGTATATTGAATAAAAAATATTCTATTCTATTCTATACTAAAGAAATTTAAAAGTATTTCAACATAATAGCAATTGGTATACTTTTTTGCAGATAAAGAAATATCTCAGACAACGGAGAGACGCGCCAGTTGGTAAGTGGATTTCATTATACTATTCAATTTTAATAATTACAGATGGATTGACAACCTAATGACTAGACATCGGATTATATGCACTAACAAAGTGCCAGAATATGCATGCAAATATGCACTAAAAAAGGCCGAAATGTGCACTAAAAACTTTTGATATGCCCAAAATATGCACAATGTAAAATCAGAAAATCATTTTTATTTTTTAAAAGCTTTTACAAAAATTTACTTAGCGGTTAGCCACCGTAGAGTCTATATCACCTGAGGATGCCTCGTGTAGAGGCGAAACACGTGTCGTATTATCGTCAGTGGTGTGTCTTGCCTAGTGTAGTGGTGTTGGGAGTAGCGGTGCTGGGATGAGTGGTGACGGGGATAGTGCACGCAATTGAGGGAGGGCGGGAGGTGCTCTTCATACTAGGTAAGACACATCATTTTATTTTATAACGCGGATATTTGCGAAGTAAACTTTGTAAAAGCTTTTATATAATGGATTTCCGCAAAGTAACGCCTGATTTTATTAATTATATTTTTATTATTATATTTTAGTTAAAGATGGTACAAAAACAGCGAAATATTCTTGAAATCATGCATAGTTTTTATGACAATATACAATTAAGTATTTTTCCAAATTTTCGAGCGGGTCAATTTGTACGCCCGAAAACGAACCTCACACTGCATCAACTGCGTCATTGGACAACATTTAAAATTTGGCCAGTCTGTTTAGTAATGTACTCTGTGCAGTACGATGGATGCAAGGTGGCTCAGGAGCGTGCTTCGTGACATTCCTTGGTGAAGGCCTATGTTCATCAGTGGACTTGTAATGGGCTGTAATGATGATGATGATTTAATTTTAATGTGTTTCAATTAAATTCAGTTTTATTTAATGCGTAATATAATAATCTAATTAGTTATTATAAATACCTATCATTCTACCATGAACATGGCATGCAATTTCCCTTTACTTATATACTAAAATTATAATTATTATAAAAAGAATTTTAATTCAAATACTAGTAAAGCTCTTAATACTACAAACATTTCCAGTAACCAGTCTAGTTTTGGAGAGGGCCATGTTCAGAGTTTCGATAAACTTACGATAGACTTAATTAATGAAGCTATCCGTAGTGGAATCAGTGTTACCGATATAGCCCAATGGATTTGTAAGCTGAAGTGGCAAGGTGCCGGCCATGTAGCTCGAAAAAGCGACAACCGGAAAAGCCTTGTATCATTTCATAGGGGGGTAGAGCCTTGCTGCAGCTATATTAGTAGTATAGTTGTAGCACGAATGGCTCGGCTCGACCGGGGAAGGACCACGCTCTCACAGAATACCAGCGTAAAATGGCAGCTTGACACTGCTGTGTTTCGTATGGTGAGTGTAGAGAACCGGAGATCCTTTTTACTGGAAAAGAGGCATTCAATCTTAGTCCTCACGGGTGACGACGCATCTGCATTTTGATTCGTATCCGAGGATAGATGTAGATGAGATTCGTGTAAGATACTAACTAGTCGCTTGTTAGTATCGAAATGTATGAAGTGCCTAAGACAACATCTCATTGAACAGGTTGACCACGAAGCCTCTCCGCAAGCCGTTGGCCACAAATCCGGACGCCGCCGAGAGTTCCGTGCGCGAGCTGGCCATACGTCCGGAACGAGCTTCCGTGGACAAGGAGAATGTCGACTCCGGTTCCGGTAAGTTTGTGCTGAACACTATGCTTAACTGTACATTACTTTATTATGAGTGTGTTTTTGTATTTAATGTAATCTATACAACATGGACGTGGGGAAGCAATGTTAACGAGTGACAGTCTCGTACCGCTGGGTAAAATGTAGGGCGGCCATTCACTAGATGGAGTGACGACCTGGTAAGACGTGCAGGAAGTCGATGGATGCAGGTGGCTCAGGACCGTGTTTTATAGCATAACTTGGGGGAGGCCTATGTTTAGAAGTGGACTTGTGAAAGGCTGCAATGATGATGATGATGGTAATGATGAATTTATAAAAGATGTTACAAAACCCTGTGGTTCTCATTAAGTGAATTATCAGAATCAGTATTCAAACGTATATAAATAACATTACTTCATTAAACTTGACAATAAAAAAATTAATTAAATTTATATTTGCTCTGATTACAATGAATATTGACACATTATCATCATTACAGCCCTTCATGAGTCCACCGCTAAACAGAGGCCTCCCCCATAGAATGCTACAGCTTGGGGTTCGAAACAATTAAAAACTGCCGATTGAATGAATTACCAAAAATTGACATTTTAATTACCGAACACTAATTACAACATAAAACCACACTAATAACAAAACACAATTGTACTACTGATCACTTTAGTTCACATTTGTATCGCTTCGAAGTATTCGCTTGTATCGCCAATACAATACTCACTCGGTCGTGGTTCCATACCGGCCTTATATAGGGCCTCAGATAGCCTCCAGAATCTTCTACTGTAGAAACATCTAGAATGTTCGAGTACATATCAGTCCTGAAATTTCTAGAAGGATCTTGACTCTCCTAGTTCTACTACTCGATACTAGATGGCGCTAGTGGCAACTAGTGTCGCCATGTACAACACATTAATAGTGGCGCGCAACAGTATTTTAAGAATTTAACAGGAAGATGCTGCTTTCTATCTTATTTTTCACATCCCTCTGTCGCCTCTTACGGCACCCACGGCATGATATGGGGTAGTGGATATTCTTACATTTGCTATTGCCATTACGTACGAAAGCTAGCTCATAAATTTATTTTTCTATGCGGAAGGTATTTATGCTATCCACTTTGTTGTAACTGACTACTAGATGGAGCTGTAACACATCAACTTCTATACCGTTCAATAGATCGCCATGAAAGTTGGTATACACAGACAGGAAACCACAAAATTAATAATCGATTATGAACTACACTAGTAACATCGGCCTACAATCTCCTATTTCAGAGATGGGCTTCCTGATAAACAACTCAAAAATAATAAATGACGGCGGTTGCCATCACAGATGGGCTGCAGCATCTTCCTGATAAACAACTCAAAAATAATAAATGACGGCGGTTGTCAAAGATTGTCTTTTACACGTGGTAGAGCTATGCTGAAACTATATTATGGTTGTGGCACGAATGGGTCGGCTCCACCGGGGTGGGACCACGCTCTCACAGAATACCAGCGTAAAATAGCAGCTTAATGCTGCTCTGTTTCGTATGGTGAGTGTAGAGAACCGGAGACCTCTTTTCCTGGAAACGAGGCATTCCATCTTAGTCCTCACGGGTGACAACGCATCTGCATTTTGATTCGCAAACAAGGATAGATGTAGATGTTTACGGCCCACAGCAACCACTTACCATCAGGTGGACTGTGTGCTCGTTTGTCACCCTATCCTATAAATAAAAAACGACTTTACATGCTTTCCGAGGCATGCGGGTGAAACACCGCCAACTTCCTGAATCCAAAATGGCCAAAATAATGATCAAGAAAGTTGTTTTAGTTTTATTTTAATTATATATAGATTCCTATACAAATTATACTTCCATACAATAGTTTGTCCTATTTCCAATTTCCCTCCCATGCTTATCATCCTTCTCTCCTGAACGCCAAGCAGTCGCAGAGCAGTTCAACTTCTGCTGCCACCGCTGGGGCCAGCAGCCGGGCTGCTCCAGGTGTGAGAAGATAGCTCATCAAATCGGAGGATTATACGGTTACATTACCTATCTACCTACCTAACCTAACCTAACCTATCCTATCCTATCCAAAAGTTTCTGTCATAGTTATATCGTGTTTAGTTATATAGTACTACTTAGCATATTTTTACAATAGAAGAGAAAACAGTTACTGTGTAATACTTTTACCTTACATTAATTTTTTAATTTAAATCGGTTTTACCAGTAGTTCAGAAAAAAACCTCTTTCCTGGGAAGAACCAGTGCGATACCAGACATAATTTTTCGACGTTTATATAATATATAAAAATTTCTTTTTGTTGGTTCGTATTTTATGTACTACCATACCGTTCATCAGATTACGGTAAAACTTTGCCAAATTATTGCCTGCACTTGCGTGAATAGCATAGTACAATTAACTAAAGTTTTCTTCCTCGCACAACTTCCTTGTGGAATCGATTACCATCAGCGATTTTTCCGGACCGATACGAATTAGGGACCTTCAAGAAAAGAGCCTACTCCTTTCTAAAAGGCCGGCAACGCATCTGCAATTCCCCTGGTTACCCTGGTGTTGCAGATGTTCATGGGCGGTGGTAGTTCCTTACCATCAGGTGTGCCGCATGCTCGTTTGCCCCCTCTCCTATAAAAAAAAACTTACAGTAGGCGGCGCGTGTACCGTGACGAGAAATTTATTGAAAGTTATATATCATTCAATATCAATGAATGTATTATTATTCCTAATTAAACAATATTAACCTTTCAAATTTAAAAGTATATTTCCACAATTATTTATTCTGCGGCAGCAATCCGCCGTGTACTAGTTAGTTAATTATAAAAATTATTTCAGAAAATGCTCTGTACCGATCACCTCACTCCCAAGGGTTATATTTATCCATGAAAATGTATCCATGGATAATATCCCCCGGGATATCTCCTTTATATTATATTTTACACTATCCTTTTTCAATAAAGTATATTCTATAAAAATATAGACTATAAAAAAGTCCCCTTCTGAATCAAGGCCTCGCATATAGTGGGGATATCTGACATCTCTATTTTGAGCTGTTCAAAATAGTCGTTATCAGGATGATGGTACTGTCCAAGAGATATACAGTTACAGCGTATAAACCCCCCCCCCCCCCCACTGCTGGGCACATAAAGTGAGGCCTCCCCTGATTTCTGAGAGAGGGCGAGGAAGTGTCCGTCGCGCTGCCCCAATGCGTGTTGGCGAACTTTACGTCTTTGAAATAGTTTTTTTCTTATTTCTCAGACATGCAGCTTTCCCCACGATGTTTCCCTTCACCGCCGAGAACGTGGTAAATCAGCACCTATTATTGCAATTAACAATTTCATTGGTGCCGGCGGGGATCTAACCCGGGTTGCACGCATACTGTGAAATTTACAGAGTGCGCTAAACCCCTGAGCTACCTCTGCTCTAAGAGATATCCACAGAGTCAGTAATTCATTCGTTGGGCAATGTATACGCTATTGCAACAAAGTCCCAGAAAATATACAATCTCTCTCGGTTACGAAGTTTAAATATTTTACTAAAACAAAACCATCGATTCACTAATAAAAAAACTAGATACACAATCAGTGACAAAAATGTCCTTACCTTTATTTCAACTAGAATTACGTCAAAATAATTGACGGTAGTTTAGAGAACTTTTGCATAGGATTGTGTATCTAGTTTTTTTTTTTAAATTAGTGATCGATGACAAAAACTGTATAAAAAGGGTTATTATATTATAAATGAATACATGGTTGATAATAACCCCGGGGAATGAGGTGGTCGCTTCCAAGCAGTTTCTAAAATACATTTTGTAAATAATTTGTACAACTAATCATGTAAAATTTACTTTAAAAAAAGTCCCGCTGTTTTGCTGGTTCTTCCCAGGACGGAGGGTTTTTTTCGAACCAGTGGTAAAGTAAAAAATGACTTTCAATAAGAATTACACGTGTGATCTATATTGAATAAAAAATTATTCTATTCTATACAGATATATATTTTGTTTACAACAAAACAAATATATTATATTGACCATGAATGAGTAACTGGTATCAGCTGTATTCTATATTAACTGCTTCATAAACATTAGGTACATACACAAGCTGCTACTAACTGATGTTTGTTCCTGGTGTTTGCGAAGAATATGCATAGTTAGAATGTATTTCACATTTTTATTAACACTGATTCTTTTATAATAATGCATTAATTCAAGTAATCAGCTTCATGAACTGTAAAGACTGATCGTAGCAAATCTTCCGTCTCCACAGTGTCGGAAGAAGAGAACGTGATAGAGAACGACGCGCCGCCTCACCCGGCCGGGATCAAGCTGCGACGTCCCGGCTACTACACCATACCCTCACTCGAGGAACTCGTTGGTAAGTGATTTTTGCTCACGGACATCAGAAAGAAGGAGGTACTCAATTCGATTGTATGTTTTTTTTTTTATGTGTGTTATCTCATAACTTTTTGGAACAAAGTTCCTTATCGGAGTTTGACGGATGGAAGCTAGGCGACAAAAAGTGTAAGATTTTTTTCGTCACTACCCCTTGTGTCATAGTGTATTTTCTGCCGACTTCCAAAAAGGAGCCGGTACTCAATTCGACTGTATGTTTTTTTTTTTTTTCGTTTTTTTTTTATGTGTGTTACCTCAGAACTTTTTTCTGGGTGAACCGATTTCGATGATTCTTTTTTTATTTGAAAGCTGGTACTTCTCGTGTGGTCCCATATGAATTTGATCAAGGTCAGACCAATAGTTTTTAAGTTATTCTTAAATAACTTATATTGAAGTCGGCTGTACAAAATTTTTAATTTTAAATTATATTTTAAATGACGCTTCATTTTTATAGATGCTAGTAATTAACTAATTTGTATTTGTTAATCACTAATATAATACGTTTATCGATAATAATATACTATGAAAGAAACTTCGTTCCAAGTGTGTTCGAAGTGTGAACGAGTGTTCCACGGCACTCACGCATTTTATGCGTGGTAGAGACATGCTGCAGCTATATTACTGGTATAGTTGTAGCAGGAATTGGTCGGTTCGACCGGGGAAAGACCACGCTGTCACAGAATACCAGCCTAAAATAGCAGCTTAATGCTGCTGTGTTTCGTGTGGTGAGTGTAGAGAACCGGAGACCCTTTTTACTGGAAACGAGGCATTCCATCTTAGTCCTCACGGGTGACAACGCATCTGCATTTTGATTCGTAATCGTGGATAGATGCAGATGTCTATGGGCCACAGTATTCACATTATCATCAGGTGGACTGCGTGCTCGTTCGTCACCCTTATCCTATAAAAAAATGTTTTTTTTTCCATGGTAAACCGATTTCGATAATTATTTTATAAAGCTGGTGCTTCTCATGTAAATTTAAATATAAATTTCCCATAATGATTTCTTATATTTACGCGAACACTACACATTTTTAAATAAAACTAATTTTATTCGGGAATATAAAAATAGATTAATATACGCGATAAAATCCGTAAAATTAGTTTTATTTAAAAATAAATTTCCCATATAAATTTGATCACGATCTGACCAGTAGCATTTGATTTGTCTTTAATATTTTATATTGAAGTCGGTGGTACAAAACTTTCAATTTTACCTTTTACTTGTTCAGAGTATATCCGGCCGGACGGTTCGTGCGTGGTGCCTCACTTCACGGTCGGTCGCAAGAATTACGGGAACGTGTTTTACGACTGCGAGATGGACGTCGCCAACCTCGACCTGGACTCATTAGGTGAGATATAGTGGGGCCAGTGTTACCAGATACAACGACAAACTTCACGTGGTAGAGCCACGCTGCAGCTATATTATGGTTGTAGCACGAATGCGTCGGTTCGACCGAGGTAGGACCACGGTCTCGCAGAATACCGGAGTGTAATACCAGCTTAATATTGTAGAGAATTGGAGACCCTTTTTATTGGAAACGAGGCGTTCCATCTTAGACCTCACGGGTGACAACGCATATGCATTTTGATTCTTAATTGAGGATAGATGTAGATGTCTATGGGCCACAGCAACCACTTACCATCAGGTGGACTGTGTGCTCGTTTGTCACCTTTATTCTATAAAAAAAACTTGTGGTTGTGCGGTAAATCAAATATCGTTAAAAGATATAAAATTCGTAAAAAGTTGTATACTTAGACTATATTAATATTTAAAAATTAAAAAAAAATATTTCTTCATATTAATTGTACATTAATGTGTAAAACAAAGTCCCGCTAAGTTATTTGCTCGCTCTTCCCAAATTTTTTCCGAACCAGTGAAAAAAAAAGTTAAAGCTACAGCCTATTTACGTCCGACTGCTGGGCACAGGCCTCCTCTCATTTCTGAAAGGGTTTTAGGACTAGGAAATGTCCGCCGCGCTGCCCCAATGCATGAAGGCTAACTTCATAATCACATGCAGGTTTCTTCACGATGTCTTCCTTCACCGCCGAGCATGTGGTAAATCAGCACTTATAAATGCATATAACAATTTCATTGGTACCGGCGGGTATCGAACCCGGGTTGCTCGCGTACTGTGATATTTACAGCGAGCGCAAACCATCTAAGCTACCACGGATTAGCCATTGATTGTTCGTAAACCGTCTACTTATTCACAGTACGAGTGACTAATTATTTCTTTCAACGCCCATCGCTAGTTCACACATCGAGTGCAGTGAACTGAGTTGACGCACTATTGGTTACACGTGTCTACTACGTCGTCAATACAGAAGAAAAGAATTAAATTTAATAAATTGTGTGTGTTCCAGTGCACTTCCTGAACAAGGAGGTGATAATCTACCCGGAGGACGCGGACAAGCCGCCGGTGGGCCAAGGTTTGAACCGGCGCGCCGTCGTCACGCTGGACCGCGTGTGGCCCCGGGACAAGACGCAGAGGAGGCTCATAGTGGAGCCCGACCGGTCGGTGTTCGAGAATTTAGAATAAGATATATTCTATACCAAGCTGCCGTGTAGTGGCGGTGTAAGAATTTCCACCACCCCATATCATCCCGTGGGTGTCGTAAGCAATCAACAGAGTGGAACAAATCAGGAGATAAGCAGCAGTCTTACGTAGTAGAGCCATGCTGCAGCTATATTAGTAGTATAGTTGTAGCACGAATGGGTCGACTCGACCGGGGAAGAACCACGCTCTCACAGAATACCAGCGTAAAATGGCAGCTTGACAATGCTGTGTTTCGTATGGTGAGTGTAGAGAACCGTAGACCCAGTTTACTAGAAAAGAGACATTCCACCCTAGTCTTCACGGGTGACGACGCATCTGCATTTTGATTCGTAATCGAGGATAGATGTAGATGTCTATGGGCCGCAGCAACCACTTACCATCAGGTGGACTGTGTGCTCGTTTGTCACCCTATCCTATAAAAAAGTGTCCTAGCAACGACTAAAAAAATATCCCCCCTATGAGGGACCCAATCTATGGGGAAGCCTACAGTCAGCAGTTTACTCTAATAGGATTTAACAGTAACGATATATCGAACTATGGTTAACTTAAGCCTAAGGTTTCGTCGGAGACTTCATAATACACGACCGTATATAAAATTAGAGTGACAAACAAGCACACAGTCCACTTGATTGTACGTGGTTGTTGTGGCCCATAAACATCTACACTTTATTCTCGATTAAGAATCAAAAGGCAGATGTCTTGTCACCTGTGAGGACTAAGATGGAAAGCCTGTTTTCCAGTAAAAAGGGTCTCCGGTTCTCTACACTCACCATACGAAACACAGCAGCGTGAAGTTGCTATTTGACACTGGTATTTCCCCGGTCAAGTTGGCCCATTCGTGCTACGACCATAATATTGTTGCAGTCTATCACCTGAGAATTAGAGATTTATTTCCTATCTTTAATTTGTGATAACGAGATATAGAAAATAAATCTAATAATACCTAATAACATATTGTTAGGAACAAGGGTAAAAAAATTAAAGAAAATAAGAAGAGAAAAAAAAGGAAAATGAGAAACAAAAGAGTAGAACTATGCCGTTCTAGCAGTATAAAGTATCGCGCAGGCGACTAAGAGGCATCAGTCAGTAATTTTACGAGTCTCACTGTCATTACTATGCCCGTTGGGGTATTCTACTAGTGTAGGCAAGGAAGGTCGTGTTGCTGAGAAGCTGCCCTGTGTTACATTGAGATTGGTAGTGATGCTGGTAGTTTGCATACTTTGGTGTTTTCATGTGATTGCGTCCTTCACGTTACGGTGACAGTTTATATTTAAATCAAGAGAGAAAACTCTCTTAAGGCGAAATTTTGAAGATAATTGCTGTTTTATACCTAAAGGATCTTCCACCACCTATATATACAGTCCACACAAAAGGACGACGGGATCGGGACCACTACGAGAGGACCCGTAATCTTAGTCGTCTGACCTTTCTTTTCAGAAAGGGGCATCAGACGCCCCTTCATGGGGTTCACATCCACCTCGTTGCGCCCGAACCCAACCTGGTGGGGACAAAGAGTTTCTGGGTAGAATGTCTATGAAAGATTAATCCCAGTTTGATTGGACCCTTTCAGTTTTTAGTTGAGGGACCAAGTGGGACTGCGCTGCAAGAGTAGCTTCCCCCTTTCAATTGGTGCGTGATTGTGACGTGAACATGTTACGGTTGGTTGAACCCATAGACATACAGAGGATGGACTGTGCGTTCCGTATTCAGTTGTGCAGTGAATACAGACCGAAAAGTGCGAGAGAGACAAAGCTAATGTGCGGCCAGTAGTTGTCTCTTGCTAGAATCCTGATTGGTCCACGTCCACTAGTGGTCAAGGAGTGTATCGTATCTATTTTTTTCGGGGCACTGCACCTCTGGCCTTCGGCTTTTAGGAAAGAGACAGGTATTGGCTACACAGTCGCTTTCTCTTTCTAGAGAATGGTCACTTTTGTGAAGCTATCCAGGGCTCAGATAACGGTATATTTTTCGAAACGTTTTCGCCTTAAATACCTAAGAACTTATTTGTTTCGTTTATGTTCGAACGGAATCATAATAAAAACGTTTATGAAGAGAACGAAATTTTAAATCGTTCTTGTTCAATAAAACGTTTTAAACCGTTTTTTCCCATTTTTGCCCTGCAATATGAAACAAAAATACCTTATAGGATTAAACTTGTCGTGGCACGCGCCATTCATTTAGCTTCTTGCGGAATAAACCCTTTTTTACGTTTTCACATTAAAGTAGGCGCGCGAGTTCATGTCCATCCCGAGGAATGCGGCAGTGCTGTAACCTAATCAATTATGGTAATGTCGATAATTACTACCGATATAGTGAACAGCTGTCAATTTGATATTAATTTGTAACTTAAGGTAATTTTGCAAATTATAAAATAAAATAAACATGATAAGTACTTACTTGTATATTGCTAATAGAGATTCTTTTTAAATGTAATTTAATCACTATCGGATGCATAGACAACCGACAAAGCAGAGTCGGAATCAGTATCTTCGCCGTCGCTGACTTCAATTACGAATTTGTCGATCGTATTTTCCAATAATCCGTCTTTTTGTCAGTAATACTCTTCCAAAATTATAACGTGATCATCAAATCCACACCAATCTATTTCTGTCATCTGGTTTATAGCCATCTCCGTTACTTCTTTCAACCTTGTTAGGGTTAAATCTGAGTTAACGTTGTACTCCCTCACAACTCTCTTGATTTTTGCCCATGCTAACTCAATTGGGTTTAAGTCGCACATGTACGGTGGCAATCTTAAAACCTCATGTCCGTGACTACGGATGAGCTGGTCCATTTTAAAAGTTTTTTCCTGGGGTGCATGCAGTTTTATGACATCAAAAAGCTCGGCTTTTCTCGTGCTTAGTGAAGTTTCTACATTATTTCTTGTAAGCCATTCTAACAAAAACTTTTTAGTGCTTGATTTTGTAGGAACTTTATTTTCCTGAACACTGTGATATTGTGCGTTGTCCATAACGACAACGCTGGATGGTGGCAAATTGGGAATGAACATGTCAGTCACCCATTTCTCAAAATTTGTACTGTTCATTTGCCCATGGTAATCGCCTGTAGCAGTACCAGCTTTGAAAAGCAACTTTGCGCCATCCAAAAAATCACGTCTGGATCCGGCGTGAACGAGAATCAGCCTGTTCGTGGAGCTGGTGTCAGTCAGTATCGCGTCTATATAATCGTTTCTCCAACACTTTAAATGTGAGGTTATTGTCAACCCACGTTTCGTCTAAAAAGACAATATCTCCGATCATTTTCTCTATATTGACGAATTTTTTGCAAATAATTTGACCGCGCAAATACAACAGCTGGTCTTTCTACCAAAATCCTTCGCTTGTTGTGATATTTTTGCCATTTATAGCCCATTTCCTTTAGAAGTTTTCGTAAACTCGTAGTCCCCCAGGGAAAATCAATTTTTTCCCGGATAGCCGCCAGAAGTTTGGGACAAGTGGGAATAATTTTTTTTGTCAAATAAAATTCTTCTATACATCTGTGTATTACACTTCTATCGAAATCATTTAAATTTCCCATTTTATTACACGATTTTCCTTTTTTAGAAGGCGAATGGAGAGGTCCATTTTTTGCTTCTGTTTGAATTCTAGACAATGTTCTTTTAGTAAGTTCAGTGTAACGGGCCGCTCGATCTAAAGCATTGTTAACCGGAAAAGCGAATTTATTCTCTTTTTTTCTCTTCGACACACATCTGTAGGATATTTCTCGCCATTTCACGTGCTTGCTTATGTATTATAAAAGGTTTTTTTCTACCTGAACTTGCTGGAAGCGGAGTAGTCATAGTTTTAGTTTATTCACAATAAAATAATACAATAGGGAGTAATTTTCGGTATCGATAAGCGCGCGTCACAACCGTCAAGGACAACACTGGACTGCAGTCATAATTATGCGGCTAGGTGGGCGAGGGCGAGACGAAATGCCCCCGCGCGTCGCCTCTGGCCCCGATGGACATGAACTCGCGCGCATACTGTACGTTCTCATTTCGTTTTTGTTCCGAACAAAATGTTATACAAGGAACCGTCCCAAACGTTTTAAAAACGTTATTTTTAATAACATTACCGAGCCCTGAAGCTAACGCTCAGTCCATTCTCACTGTCTACGATCGAACCGTATTGCTCTATACTGAATGTATGGTTAAATTAGTAATTCATTTATGGGGCCAATGTATACGCTTTTACAACAAAACCCCAGAAAATGTACAAACTACTTTGTTAATAAATAACTTTTAAATGTCTTATTAAAGAAAAATTGTATAAAAAGGGTTATTATAATATCAAATAATACATAAGTGAAAAACCCTGAAGGAATGAGGTGATCGCCACCATGCTGGTTCTATTAAAACTCATTTAAAATGTGTACAAACAAAAAAAAACATAATTATTGTTAAGTGAAATTATATTTGAAAAAAAGACCCGCTGGGGTTCTTGCTGGTTCTTCACAGGACAGAGGTATTTTCCGAACCAGTGGTAAATAAAAAATGACTTTCAATAAGTATTATGTAATAATCAATATTGGAAAAAGAATATTCTATTCTATTCTAGTGTGCTGTTTTGTTGCTGATAATGATTGGTTTTGCGTAAGCAGGAGAGCAAGTTAGCATATTCTCTCACAAATTTATTATTTTTGAAATTGGCCGCCACATTACTATACGTGGTAGAGCCATGCTGCAGCTATTTATGGTTGTAGTACGAATGGGTCGGCTCGACCGGGTAAGGACCACGCTCTCACAGAATACCAGCGTAAAATAGCAGCATTACGTTGCTGTGTTTCGTGTGGTCCGAGATCCGGAGACCCTTTTTACTGGAAACGAGGCATTCCATCTTAGTCCTCACGGGTGACAACGCATTTGCATTTTGATTCGTAATCGATGATAGATGTAGATGTCTGTGGGCCACAGAAACCACTTACCATCAGGTGGACTGTGTGCTTGTTTGTCACCCTTATCCTATAAAAAAAAAACCATTGGTTTCTGAGATTAAGGAGGGTTTGTTACCGAGTAGTGTTCTTCTATTAATTTTGAGAATAATTTATAACTACAAAAGTGGGAATAAAGCTTTTTGTTATATTAATTTCTAACAATATAATAATCGGAATCTTGTTTCCACTTTAAGCGTATGTAATGATTGCGGAGTATTTGAGTGAGATATATGTCGGCAGGCTGCTGAAGATGGACTACGAGGGCAAGTTGCGGCGCGTGTGCGAGAAGCATGACACCAAGTTCATCGAGTACCGGCCGCAGACCGGCAGCTGGGTGTTCCGGGTACTTGTTCACTTACCTACTTATTATAGGACACCGTCGTTAACCGTGTACGCTGATCACGAAGTCCCGCGTTCGGATCCCGGGTCGAGAAAAAAATTAGTTGGTTTTTTGTCTTTATTGATCCTAGAACCAACAAATTATTAATATAAACAGAAATTCTTAAATAATATTTAATGCAAATAATGGGTGTATATATTTATTATCGCTTGGTATAGTTGACATATTAATTGTATAGCGCTGCATACGGCTACGTGCCACGGTATAAAACACCGGTAACCTCGTAGCGGCTGATCTCAAACATCTCCGTTTACTTATTTGTTATTATTATTTATGTAAATTTAATTATTGACACGTATAATTTATTTTTTATTTCACTTCAATTTTACTAACATATAATGTTAGTAAAATGAGGCATTCACGACTTATTCTGCCACCAGGGCGGCGCCACTAGAAAGTGAGGTATAATATTTTACAGATATCATTGCGGGGAAGTTAAAATGTTCGGAAAATGTAAAAGTTATTGTCTCTTTCTGTGCTATAAGCTATATTTTATATTAATAAGATTAAAAATAAATAAACCAAACCACAGATATTCATAAAAGTAGAAAAATTAATAAAAAAGTTAATAATGTGCGAAAAATTAAAGAGCAAACCACTGACGGATTGTTTTGTATATTAATATAATACTCTAAAAACTGGTAAACTTGTAATAAAAACAAACTTCTCAATTAAATTACAATGTGTAACTAAAAACTTTACGTCAGTGTCAACTGGCGACATCTGGTGAGCAGAAAAATAATTAACATTCATTGAAGTGAAATATAAATTCTTGTCTGGGCTCTCTGTTACCTGAAATAAAGATATTTTATTTATTTATTATAGTTCTTAAATATTTATTGGTTTTCGGGTTTTTTGTCAATAAATTCTCAGTATGTGCCCGGAGTCAGGAAGTTGACGGTGTTTCACCCTAGTGTCTAGGAATGCACGTAAAACCGCGCCTGATCTCTCTCTTGTAGTGTTAGACTATGAGAGTGAGGCAATAGAGTGGAGCTGTGCTTGCGCATACACTCCTGCACTATAGCTATGTCCTGTGTAGATGACTGATCTCGGCCGCCGTGACCAAAAATCATTATAAGTGGCGGTGGAAGAATATTCACTACACCATATCGTCCCGGGTGCCGTTAGAGACGACAGAGGGAACTAAAAGCAAGAGATGGGCAAATGGATCTTACTGCTAACATCTGAAAGTTACAAATAACTACAGTTGGTCAACGTCTGTCAAGTTTGACAACTATGGCAAAATGCGATATAAGGTAATCTATGGAAGACATGGAATAGATATTTTTTTTATATGATAAGGGTGACAAACGAACACACAGTCCACCTGATGGTAAGTGGTTGCTGTGGCCCATAGACATCTACATCTATCCCCAATAAAGTATCAAAATACAGATGCGTTGTCACCCGTGATGAGTAAGATGGAATGCATCGTTTCCAGTAAAAAAGGGTCTCCGATACTCTACAGTCACCATATGAAACACAGCACCATTATGCTGCTATTTTACGCTGGTATTTTGTGAGAGCGTGATCCATCTATACTAATCTATACTAATAAAGCGGAAGAGTTTTCTGTTTGTTTAAACGCGCTAATCTCTGGAACTACCAGTCCGATTTGAAAAATTCTTTTTGTATATTATAGCCAGATTCATGTGGAATAGTATAGGCTATCTATCATTAAGCTATATCACTCAGATAGCCTTAAATATGGATATTTGTTAAGCAAGTCAGAAGAAAAATCACTCCCGAAATGATTTATCTGCGTACGCTGGTGTTATCGTTAGGGATACGTAAATACAATGTTCTAGAAAAATATAGAACTTTACTCCGTCTAAAAAAATGTCCGTGATACCATATGTCTATTTCTTATACATAAGCCATAATTTGGTATTTTGTGACATAAAAATAAAAGTGATTTATGAGCGTTATTATTAGGCATGGCCTATTTATCCTTACGAACGAAAGTTACTTCATCATCAAGACAATTTTATGAAGATAAACTTTGTTCTTCATACCATGTTATTTGGACGCATAGTTTAAGAGATAATGTAAAATTAAAATAAATTTAATACTTGTCTGGGCGCGCGAACGACACATAAACCCTAGCTGCCCGGTGAGAACTGCGAGAGCTGCTCAACTGGGAGGGGGAGGGAAAGCGGATAAAACTCAACTTCGCTCTACTTCATACATTATATGCCGACAGATAAAAGTAGTCCATTAATTATGCCAATTTTTCCATGCATTATTGCTATCAAATAAAATATTTAATTGCAATTATAAAATGCTTGAACTAGGTCATGTCGCGCACCTCCGACACGTGATGACGCGGGTGAAACCGCGGGGCACAGCTAGTAGATTATATGACACCTCTTAATGACTGCTAATAATATTACGCTCACCAGATGTCGCTAAAAAAATAATAACAATATCTCAAAAAAGTATAAAACAAAGTCGCAAAATCTTTTAAACTGCGCAACTGCTTTTGATGCGGTTTTCATCAATAGACGGAATGATTCAAGAGGATGGTTTATATGTATAATACATGCATATTATATATTGTATAATTCTTTTGTCCGTGTGTATGTGACCGAACTCCTAAACGTCAGGACCGATTTTGATGACATTTTATGTGTGTGTGTGTGTGATTAAGTTGATTAGAGAATAGTTTAGATTCACAATTGGACCCGGTAGGTGATGTTATTGTCGAAATCTAGAGGTCGCTAGTTGATAGTAATAATAATGATTTTTTTCTTCAAGAAACAAGTTCGAATTAATAGCTTCACAAGTCAGGACTATTTTAATAATTCTCTGTTCCTCTGGGTTTCCCTGCTGATTCTGCCCAGGACTAAATTAAACATAAGGAATTACTTTCAATAAGTATTATTTATAATCTGTATTGAATAAAATGTTTCTAATGTCTTTGTGTTAGCACTGACTTAACTATGCTGTTTAACAGATGGCGCTATTACTAAGCAATTTTACTCGAAAGAAAATATTGTTTTTCTGCTTTTAACTTCTACCGCGTATAAACTGCACACATGTTTTTTTTATTGTTTTTGCACACATGCTATTTTACTGATTTTTTTTTTATTTTGACTTTATTTGATCCGTTATCAAATGTCGTACGTTGCAGGTGGAACACTTTAGCAAATACGGCTTAACGGACTCCGACGAAGAGGACGACCCCACCCCGGAAGTGTTAAAGAGGCAGCTCGTCAATCAGTCCCTGCAGAAGTCTGCAGCCCCAGGTAATATTTCTACTAAAATAAAAAATTGTGCGTGTAATTGTGTACGCACGTACGTAAGTGAAACTTACATATGACATATCATTCTTATATTATTTTATATTTTTTTTTATAGGATAAGGGTGACAAATGAGCACACAGTCCACTTGATGGTAAGTGGTCGCTGTGGCCCATAGACATCTACATCTATCTTCGATTAAGAGTCAAAATGCAGATGTGTTGTCACCCGTGAGGTCTAAGATGGAATGCCTCGTTTCCAGTAAAAAGGGTCTCCGGTTCTCTACACTCGCCATACGAAACACAGCAGCGTTAAGTTGCTATTTTACGCTGGTATTCTGTGAGAGCGTGGTCCTTCCCCGGTCGAGCCGACCCATTCGTGCTGCAACTGTACTATTAATGTACCACGTTTAAAAAATGTCTAAACATGTTCGCCGAGATTCATAATAAAAGTAGTCTAAGTTATTCCTTATAATATATAGCTATCTGCCAGTGAAAGTCCCATCAAAATCGGTCCAGCCGTTTCGGAGATTACCCGGAACAAACAGACAGACAAAAATTATACAAGTTTTAATTTTGTTATAAGTCCCGTACATACTTTCATATGCATTTAGTAAAAAGCTGTTATTTTGACATTAAAAACAGACATTTCAATTTTAATTATTTGTTTTGTTTATTTGGGCTTATTCGCCATTAACAATATGTCCAAAAGAGAAAAGACTTTATGTGAATAGATATAAGGTTGCAACTTAATTGCATCAGAAAGTTTAATCATTGTCTTTTCTTGCGTCCATACATTTTTAACTCAACATTAGTCTTTACTAAGGGCGACAGATTAGCACACAGTCCACCTGATGCTAAGTGTGTGCTGTGGTTTCTAGACTTTTACATCTATCCTCGATTAAGAATTAAAATGCTGATGCGTTGTCACCTCTGAGGAATAAGAAGAAATATCTCGTTATAAGTAAAACGGGTCACCGATTCTTTACTCTTTATACGAAATACCAGCAACAATTTTTTACGTGGTAGAGCCATGCTGCAGCTATATTAGTAGTATAGTTCTAGCACGAATGGGTCGGCTCGACCGGGGAAGGACCACGCTCTCACAATACCAGCGTAAAATAGTAGCTTAACGCTGCTGTGTTACGTATGGTTAGTGCAGAGAACCGAAGACCCTTTTTACTGGAACCGAGGCATTCTATCTTAGTCCTCACGGGTGACAACGTATCTGCATCTTGAGTCTTTATTGAGGATAGATGTAGATGTCTATGGGTCACAGTAACCACTTACCATCAGGTGGACTGTGAGCTCGTTTGTCACCCTATCCTATAAAAAAAAACAAAAAAAAGTAAAAGGGGTCACCGGTTCTTTACTCTTTATACGAAATACCAGCAACATTAAGCTGTTATTTCACACTGGTATTCTGTGAGTCTGTTCTTTCCCCGGTCGAGACGACCGAATGGCGCTGCATCTATAATATATTTGTAGCGTGGCACAAATACGTTATTTCGAAGTATTCCTACATAAACTTCAGCCAAAGCTGATACTTAAATTAACAAATATTTACTTTCAGCACCAAAGCAAGCGGTAACAGTGCAGTCAGCCGGGTTGGGTGGTTTGGGAGGATTAGGCGGCTTGGGCAGCTTGGGAGGTCTCGGGGGTCTAGCGGTCCCGCCTGGCACCAGTGCAGCAGCCGAGGACCTGTTCTCCATGCAGCGAACCTCCCTAGACTTGCTCAACGGCACCGAAAAAGGTTGGTTTTATATTTATTTCATATTTTTAAAAAAACATGCTTTTGACTATGTAGCGGCAGTGTAAGAATATCCGCTAACACATAGCGTCCCGTGGGTGTCGTAAGAGGCGACAGAGGGCAACAAGCCAGGAGATAACAATTAAAAATTATAAACAATTTCTTTGCCAAGCGTCGCAATTATGGCAATCTACGGGGTAGAGCTACGTTCAGCAGTGGACTTGTCATTTTTTTTTATAGAAGAGGGGGCAAACGGGCATGCGGCTCACCTGATGGTAAGTGACTACCGCCGCCCATGAACAACCGCAACACCAGGGGAATCGCAGATGCGTTGCCGGCCTTTTAGAAAGGTGTAAGCTCCTTTCTTGAAGGTTCCTAAGTAGTCATGCGATGTAATAACAATAGTATAAACAAGAAATTGGCAGCAGCATCTTCCTGATAACAACTCAAAATAATGTAATTGCCAACCCGGCTGCCAAGCGTGGCAGCTATGTTCCACTTATGTTTGGCAGTGGACTTTTGATAGGTGTAATGATGATGATGAACAGCGAAAAATAAATAAATGTCCGCCAGTCAAGCGCAGCAATTATCTGCAGCAAATCCTTACAATGGGGCTAACTACAAACTGTTATGCAACCAACTACGAACTGTTATGCAACTAACTACTATATAACATCATATATCGGATCACTAGGATCACTAATAAAAAACTAGATATACAATGCCATGCAAAAGTTCTCTAAAAACTGTCGCCAATTATTGTGACATAATTCTAGTTGAAATAAATATACACCAATGTAAATTCAACCTTAATTGCATTACTTAAAGTTGTATTCACAAAGCTACGTACAAATTAAAAGCGCACCCAATAGTTCGAGTGGGCACTCGTTCGATAAGCACATTTTTTGTCACTGATTGTGTATCTAGATTTTTATTAATGATCGATGGCTGGCACATGCTTTATTTTGTCCATCCTCATTATTAAAATATTTAATAGAATTAGGCGTTAATTTTGTGGGAATGTATTATCTTAAAGATATTATGTGGTAATAACCTAATTTTATACGTGGTAGAGCCACGCTGCAGCTATATTAGTAGTATAGTTGTAGCACGAATGGGTCGGATCGACCGGGGAAGGACCACGCTCTCACAGAATACCTGCGTAAAATGGCAGTTTCGTATGGTGAGTGTAGGGAACCGGAGATCGTTTTTATTGGAAAAGAGGCATTCCACCTTAATCCTCCCGGTGACAACGCATCTGCATTTTGATTCACAAACGTGGATAGATGTAGATGTCTATGGGCCACAGCAACCACTTAACATCAGGTGGACTGTGTGCTCGTTTGTCACCCTTGTACTATAAAAAATCTCTTCGTTGTCTGTCTGTCTGTCTGTCGGTCAAGACCCTTTTCTCAGGAACGGGTGGAGGAATCACGTTGAAATCATCAATATCAAATCCTAAACTCTAAGTTACTGTTGGTCGGGCTGTGGGTTCAAATCTTGCACGTAACGAGGTATCTGTACTTTTTTTTATAGAATAAGGGTGACAAACGAGCACATAGTCCACCTGATGGTAATCTGCATTTTGATTCGCAAACGGGTATAAATGTAGATGTTTGGGCCACAGCAACCACTTAACACCAGGTGGACTGTGTGCTCGTTTGTCACCCTTACTCTATAAAAAAAAATATTTATAATATATATTGGACCGTGTAGTGGCGGTGTAAGAATATTAACTACCTCATTTCGTGCCGTGGGTGTCGTAAAAGGTAACAGAGAGAAACAAAATGGGCAGCAGTATCTTGCTGATAACATCTAGAAAATTATAAACTGTGGTTGCTAGCGTGCCTGCCAAGGGATACACCTATGGCAAATGTCCCCTCCGATCTTTGGGTAAAGCCCCATGTTTAGCAGTGGACTTTGGTAGGTTGTAATGATGATGATGATGATTGGCTTTCATATTATAATAACGGCTTCAATTCGTGATGTGATGGGAATGTCACAAAGCACGCTCCTGAGCCACCTGCATCCATCGCTATATATGTTTTTGTCTGTCTAACGTGTGTCGGGGCTAACCTTCAGAATCGTTGAAACGATTGTAATGAAACTTAAAGAACAGATATAGAGTGATCTAGTCTGTATTTTATCCGAAAAATGAATAACATTAAATAAATAGTACTTACCCAGGCGAAGCGAGGGTTGGTCGCTAGTTAGAAATGTAATGTAGCTTCCATTTATTCTTGCAGGCTTTGACATGGACACAACCGAGGACAGCACGGAACCGCCGACCTTGTATCCGGACAATCTGGGTAAATATCTAATTGACTCAACAAACTGATAGCTTTTTTACTCACTTGGAAATACAACGGCCCTGTATTTACTATCTGGTAGGGTTGTTTTTCTGTCTAACATTTTTCAACACACCCTGTGTTCCGATATACACTGCGAGCACTGCTCAGTGCTGTCACTGGTGAACAATTAGTTTCGTTATGGACTGCCAGTATACTGCCGCAGCACCCTAGGGAAATATATGACGTCATAAATCGCCGCCATATTTGTACTGTGAGCATTGGCGCTTTCGAGGTAAGGTGCTCTCAGTACTTCAACCACGTGATCAAAAAACATAACAGTGCGTAGAGATTTAACAGGTTTTAATGAATGATTGTTATTATTATTAATTAATATTGTTATTCAAATTAACTCGGACATTAAGTTTTAAAAGCAACAACATTTAAATAATAATTTTTCTTGTTGAACACAAAACTTTACATGATAAATATTTTCATTTGAGAACAGTGTCAAAAATGGGTATGACCGTATACTGAACTGCGTTGAGTTTTAAACAGTAACCACCATAGCAAACTAAATAGGAACGGCTTCACAGTGCACCGAATTCACGTCTCACATTTCAATGGTCACAGTGCATATCGGAATACACCCTTAGTGTAGGTATCATTTTGTTACCTATTTCTGTCGCCAAGCTTATGAGTACGGACCGTTAATCTAAGAGTTGTGGGTTCGAATCCGCCATTCGATTGCTGTCATGATCCATCACTAAGACAAGCGTTTTGATGGAAATAACGCTACTAGAAATATTAATTAAGTTCAAAGTATAAGTTGTATTTTATAAAAAGTTGGAGAAAATTGGTGTGTTGCGGTCAAAAGGGTAAAGAGAGTCAGTATACTGTAGGCTGTAAGATATTCTATCTTAGTCAGAGGTGGTCACAAAGCATCTGAGGAGGCCTTCTATGTTTTGAAGTTAGTTGCAGATGCTCATGGACTATAGCCACTTACCGTCAAGTGGACCATTGGTTTGTCTTATTAGCATGTATTACTTATAATAATAATAATATAAATATAACCCAGAAAGCGTATTAGAGAACTCCATAACGTAGATATACTTTGACCGCGCTATCCTCACAGACCGGACCTTTCATTGTAAACGACCAGACATTACATTAATTAATAAAATTATCAAAACCTTATAGATATAACAGTCTCTAATACGCACAATCTACAAACTACAATAGCCGAAATACTCTAAATATGCAGAACTTAAAGATGAAATAACTCGACTCTGGCGTCTTCAAAAAGTAATTATAGTGCCCATTGTACTATCAATAATTTAAAATTAATCATTTTGTATAGCCGACTTAAATATAAGTTATTAAGAATAACTCAAAAACTGTTGGTCTGACTGTATTGTTTGCTATCTTCTCTGTAGTGTAACACAGGCTCGGCACGCACTTAACTAAACACGTCCACTCTCGCCCGAGGCTCTCGTGTAACTGACGCGGTGCGCTCGAGACAGTGACTTATATATATATATATATGCAAACACTACACTGACCTTGATCGAATTCATGTCTGGGACCACATGTGAAGTACCAGCTTACAAATAAAAAAGAATCATCGAAATCGGTTCACCCAGTTAAAAGTTATGAGGTAACACGCATAAAAAAACATACAGTCGAATTGAGTACCGTCTCCTTTTTGAAGTCGGCAGACAACAGGCGTAATACCGCAGCAATCAAACCAATCTACAAATATTCATTGACACCTACAAACTGTTACAGAAAACTGTAATTCTAAATGAATGCAGAATAGTTAAGAAGTCCCTGCAAACTGAAGAACAGACCACACCTTTACTTAGGCAAATTACCTCACAACCTAACACACAGGTGACTGAATAAGGTACCTTATAGGATATGATCAAATCTAGCACCAATATGCACTTGGCTTTGGCTCGTGCTATTAGTAAACCGGTAAAAGCCGAGATTTTAAACTAAATAAATAAAAATAATAATAATAAAACCTTTAATTCCGATCTAATAACATGTAACATTAAAACTTAAAATAAAAGAATCTACTAACTACAAAATGTCTCTTAGTTCGGCGTGCCTATTGACAAAGGCCTTCTCCAACGATCTCCATTGTTGCCTATCTTTTTTCTTTTTTTTTATAGGATAAGGGTGACAAACGAGCACACAGTCCACCTGATGGTAAGTGGTTGCTGCGGCCCATAAACATCTACATCTATCCTCTATTACAAATCAAAATGTAGATGCGTTGTCAGCCGTGAGGACTAAGATGGAATGCCTCATTTCCAGCAAAAAGGGGCTCCGGCCACCTGCACTCACCAAGCGAAACGCAGAGGTAAACCTCTACTTCACGCTGGTATTCTGTGAGGTCGTGGTACCACCCCGGTTCGAGCCGGCCCATCCGTGCGACAGCGAAAGCTGCCGCGTGGCTCTACCACTGTTAAATATCTTGAGCAACCCTTCTTCAGTTTGGTCCTGCTGTAATTTTTATTTCATCTTCCCATCTTGTGTGATGTCTTCCTCGACTTCTTTTGCTGTCCCTTGGATACCATTGTTACTGTATGTATGTATTACTTAATATTATATTTAAAAAAAAAAACTATTTGCACAATCATTAGACCTTAACAAGTCTGTAGAATAAAAAAAAACAAAATATTTTTTTACTCAATTTAGATTATAAAGTATTCTTAATAATTCTTATTTAATGTTATTTTATAGTAACACTTGATACTAATCATTACTTTTCATTTAAAATGTAACCAACCAATACATCTTTAGATAATATTATGTATATATTATGATGTAATATATAATTGTTATAATCCAATAACAATTAATGTTTGTTTGTTCGTATTTTATGCGTTGCCATACCGTTCACCAGATTGCGGTGAAACTTTGTAAACTTATTGCTTGCATCTGCGCGAAGTTATAGCCATAGTGCAATTAACTTACACTAGGTGGAGCGCGTATCGTACCGATAAATTTATTTGAAAGTCATATTATAATTTTAATGAATTTATTATAATTCCTAATTAAACAATATAACTCTTCCAAATTCAAAAGGATTTTTCCATAATTATTTCTTCTGCGGCATCAATGCGCCTAGTACCAGCTTGTATCATATGCAATTAATAACATGCAATCCTTATGATTTAAATTCACTTGACTCATAAATGTAATAAAATGTAACATATCTAACGTGTTGGCTGTCAGTTTTAAGTAAAAAACTCGTATACCTCTCCATAAAATACTTACGCTAAGGTTATGTAATAATAAGGGGGGGGGGGAGGGGGGAGGGTGGTCTAGGTGATGAGAGTTTTGAATTACAAACATCTATTTTATTTCCATTAGTAATATCTATGGAATAATTATTATTTATAGGGAATTTGAAGCAGAATCAATAAAATGGACGGACGGATTACAAATGGGTAAATTTTATTGACGGTCCGTTATAAAAATTCATTTTTAATTAATTGATTTGAATATACAATATATTTAAAAAAAAATTCTTGGCTGGAAACGATATTAATATGTAGGCTAGTAAAACTTTGACTATTGACTTGTATTCGTATTATAGATTTATTGTGTAAAATATGGAACATTTTAAGCATTTGTTATTAGTAAAATAAGTTTTAATTAAATAAGTATGTTGAATTTTTTTTTATAAATATGAAAAAATTATTGATGAAATACATTTCAATCATTTTTATACACTTATCTGTAAAAATAACTTAGCCTAAAATCTTTAATTTTTGGAATTAATATATATATATTATATATATAAGTATTAAAATAAAGCTAACAAGTTATAAATACATTTAAGAATGGTTTTTTAATCTGTGGAAATTGTAATAAATGTCATGACGAAATATAAAACGAATTTTTTATTTGAAAATATCATTTATAGTCAATTTATAAAACTTATACAATTATAATGGGGACTTCCACTCGTGATCCCAAAAATGTCACTGAGCGTTGTGTACATTTCGATTGACACCAAACCCAAGCCAATGCAATAAATATCTATTTGTATATTTATAAAAAGTTAGTTACAAAAAGAATCGCATGCGCGATATAATCGATGTCGTCTAAGTAAAATTCAATAAGAATCTATCTAGCTGTTCAAGCGAGATTGAAGAGAACGAATCATCCTTTTAAGGGTTCCGTACACGAAGCGTAACCAACGGGACCCTTTACCACATTAGTAAAGAAATATGGAGTGTATAGTAGTAGGAGAACCATCTTATAAGGTGCGAAAGTTGAAAAAGTGTCCCAATATATACTGAAAATAGAGGTTCCAAAACCTACCACAATAGCGCTGGCGTCTGAAAAACTACGATATGAATATAGCTGTTGTAGACGGAGTGAAGTCAGCTGAATTCAAATATTTAAAAAATTTCATGACTAGAGTAGTTAGTAAAATGCCAGTATACAAAATCTCAACTATTTACGTAGTACAAAACCAAGCGGATTGGTCGGTCCTTGTTTATTTCTCCATCTTATTCTAATACATTTTGGCGCTTTTTTTTAAAATTTATCCTATGCTACTGCAGCGTCACCCTTATTGGACACGTTTTTAGGGACACTTTTTATATACAGAGATGGTCCTCCTTCTTACTCTACACTCCATATAAAGAAACTGTACAGAGGCAAAGCTTCTAAGGAGCTGTCAAAATTTTTAAATATTTTGGTAGGGTTGGCACAGGAGGATAAAATTAAATAACAAAACGTTTATCAGCTTTTATTATAATACTTAATAAATTGTATTTTTTACAAACAATTTTTATTCGTAGTATTTTATTTTTATAATTTTTGTTCTTCAAAAATTTGTTGCGCCTATTAATGAAATTGTAATTATTCTAAATCGAATGTCGTTTTTTTTTTTAAAAAAAAATAATCTATTGGAAATCACTCACATGACGTAACAAATATACAATCTTGCACACGTTTTAATATTTCATTACCAATATTTACAATGTTTCCTTCGA